TACGTTGAGGTACATCAGATGGACAAAGAGTTGGACCCCACAGGAAAAGCGATGGAAAAGACGTCTGGCCATAAAAAGCGGCCGAACAATTTTGGAAAGGTTGGAAACTGTTTTGCCGGGACCCCATAGCGGACTGCGTTTTGCGGCAAAGTGCGCACGTGATTTTCCGTAATAGGAAAGGTGTCCGTTCAGCATCCCGAAAAGGAAAGTGGCCGAATGTCCGGAAGGCGTGGGGTGGACCCAAGGAATGACCGTGCCACCTCATGTGGGTGACGCAGGGCGGCGTGTGCGAGAGGCATTGCGACCTCCCGGTGCTCGCTGCTCCAGGACGGGAGTAGGCCAAGGGGCCGGACACTTGCTGGTTCAAACGGTGGGCATGACCTTGGAAAGTACCCTGCGCACTCCCTCCCTCACTCTCAACTTTCGGCACAAAATCGCGGCGAGATGTCCTCCGGAGCCACTTTTTCATGCTGCGGACGATGTGAAAACGGCCATACGTGTTCTTCCACACCATAAATTGTGGGTTGTGGGGTTCCGGAAACCAGTATTGGAAGACATTTCACTTTTGCCAGAAGGTCCTCCGCTGCCTGTGGGGTCCCAGAAACAGTTTCGCGGAAACATTCTTCCTTTTCGCATTCCTGTGGGGTCCAACTCAAGAACAGACAACCCGAAAAAAGAAACACTTCACAGGGATTATAAGCTGGTCTTCAACAACTGGACAGTCCTAGACCCGACGGAGCCCCTTCGCCCCCCACACGACTTTCCGGACCTCTTCCCCCCAAGTGCCCTGGCAATTGTAGATGAAGCATGGTATGGCTAATTGGGGTTGGACAGTGGGGGAGGAGCATAAGGAACTCTCTTCTGGAGCCCCCCAGGGAGTTTTCCTTCTAACCAAACACAGTTACAATCTCCTGAAGAGGTATCAGTGCATATTGAGAGATCTGGCGCCCTGGGGGTGAAGAGATACGGGAGATAAGGGCTACATTACGATGATTTTCACAACACCTGCTCAGTAAATCCCCTGAAGACAGGGCAATCAATGCTGGCAGGGCTCACAATCACGGTGCTTACTCATTCTCAGATTTTGTATAAGGGTCCCCAGGTGTTAGTGGTGTCTGCTCTTATCAGCAGCACTAACACTGACGGGGGGTGTGTTAAAAAAAAAAAAAGAAAAAAAAAAGGGGTCCAACTCAAAGTGAGATAATCGCTTTCTCACCCAATCACCCAATGAGCAATGAAATATTGACTAACTCCACTTTCGTGAACTAAATGGGGTAACTCCAGTAGAGTCACAACAACGAGTTATAATTGCACTATGGGGCAAGATACAGTTTGCAATTCCACTTTGGGCACCCTACCTGGCCAGAAAGCTGGGTTGCATACATTGCCCCAACTGCAATAGTGCAATCATTACTTGTTTTTGTTACTCCTGCGTAGTTCCCCTAGAAAGAAATGTCAGTTTTAACGAAATGTCAGTTTTAGGAAGTACTTGTGGTTTAAACGAAAAAGTCAGTTTTAACGAAACCCCCATACCGATACAGAGTCATTACAGACAATGCATGAAGGTTAGTGGTACAGACTATGTCTTCAAGTATTATGGCTTCGAGTGGTGGCCTCATGTAATGGTCCCTGTCTGTTTTTTTTTTTTTTTTTTTTTTTTCCCATTCTATAAAGCCCAGGTTGTTGTAGACGCTGGATTACAGACATATGAGAGTCACCTTCGGCACTCGGCCATGTGGTAGAGCCCCCCTAATCCTATAGGACTCCCTCTCAACCTACCTCTTTGGGTGGGGGGAGGAGGTGGCAGTTGGCCAAGCTGACAACAGGAGTCAGGCAGCCTTCTGGGAAATATTACTTCTATATTGGGCTTCTGCTGGCTCCTTGGGCTAAATTGGAAAATAATAAGCGAGGCAGAAGGTGAAGACCATCCACCTTCCGGTGCTAAGTTTGATTTCCGCAAAGAGGTCCCTGAAAGTGTGTTGTTGTCACTTTCCTCTTTAGGAAAGCAGAAGAACAGCCTGCTCACGTCTGCAAACCACAAAACTAGCACCATGAGATAAGGAGATCGGCACACATGGAGAAGGAGGTTTGTTGATGAAGGGAACATCCACACTCGTTGGCAGCGAGCTTCGAAAGCTTTTCAAGCGAGGTACCGTCAATAGTTGTTTGATTGGGGCCCGGAATCACCTTTTTTTTTTTTTTTTTTTTTTAATAAGCCCAGGAAAATTTAAAAACTTTTTTGGTTACTTGTGGCAGATTGTTTACTTGTCATCCATATTCCCTGAGGTTCCCTCTGTGGTTTCCAGGGCACTGTCTCCAGTGGCCAGCTGTGCAGCGACCCCCATATATAAATGGCTTTCCTGCCTCTGGCCAACCCCCAATTTTCCTAGATATGTTGCCATTGAAGAAGTTAAGAAGAAATTGTCTATGATATTAAAGGTAGCAGGAAAAGATTGCACCTTAATGTGTCAGCAATGTGGATCTTGACATGAGTTTGCGAACTTTGCGCAGTTGCTTTTTACAATGAGGCAAGTTTTGTCCTTTCTTAACATCGACGGGCTATTTCTGTCCCTTATGCTGTATTCTTTCAGCACAGGATCATGCTTCTTTTCTTTTTTTTTTCTTTTTTAATTTAATTCCCTTCGGGCACAGGATAATGCTAACTGCCTCCAATTTCCAGAGATGAAAGCATATCACCTCTGGAATCTGAGGCCAGTGTGTTTACAATGTTGCTCCTGCATCTCAGCTGACAAGCAAACACCATTATCCTCCAGGAAATGCTTAGGGCATATTCACACTAGGAGTTTTTCTACTAAGCTCTGGATGTGATTGAGGTCAGGATCATCCAGATCTGGCCATAATTGCAGTCAGATTCATGTAGGGAAGTGGTAGTGTGAGTACGCCTTAGACCAGGACTTCCTCAAATGAATATATATAGGACTTTCTTGGATGCATCTGACTCCGTAATGGTGACTATATATATATATACACTATATATATATACACTATATATATCGTCACAAACAGAACTGCCCCAAACCGTAGGCAGAGAGAGAGAAGAGGACAACAAACGAGGGGCTGTGACAAACTGTTTCGTCGGAGTTTCACCGACTCATCATTAGGGAGTCAGATGCATCCAAGAAAGTTCTAATATCAGCATGCCCTTAGAGAACACAGACACAATCCTGTCTCCCTGCGGTAAGGAGCACAATAGAACAACCAGGTCCGTCAAAAAAAAAAAAAAAGAAGAACAACCAGGTCCATCATCCCTTAGAGAACACAGATGCAGAACAATGCTGCTGGCAGCCAAAGGCAACAGCGCAATAGATTTGAAGAGGGGTTCAGCATCCCACTTCCCTACCGTCTTCCCCGGAGAATGCACGGTCATTATAGCTGTATATGGGGCAATTTCCAGTCTAAATACAGCAATAATGACCGTGCATTCTGCTCAGGGGAAGACAGTAGTGGTCCCATCCCATCCACCTGCCACCTGCCCTGCCACCTGTCAGCAGTCAGACTCAGTCTGCCATTATTAAATTTCTTCTTCCTCTGCCCACCTTTCAGCTTTATCTGACTGTGGCCAGAACATCTGGCGGATTATGTCTTCCCCTCGGCCGGCTCCGTCACCCACCAAGCTGCATGCCAGGGTTGATATTCCTAACACCACCGTCTTCCCCCGAACATAATGCACCCCCATCATGACTGCATCGGACAGGAAATATAGCTCGTAGAGATTCATAATGAGGGTGCGTTGTGTTCAGGGGAAGATTGTAGGGGCAAGAGGGGCTGGACAAGTGTGAGCATTCTAGATAGACAATGTTCTGTTTCAAATTCCTTATATTATTCTCAACAGCCGAAGCGACGCAGCAATCACTGTGAGGTGCAGAGCCACTTTACCTGCAATTTTGTCCATGCGGAAGAGCACAATCTGCTTTTGCAATCTCTCATACCTATTTTGGATTATTTTTATTTAATTTTGCATTAGCTAGAAGGCGAAAAGCCACAAAGCCGATAGCAAAGACTGAAATGTAAAGCTGCTTTGTGGTCTTCGCCTCCAATTTCTAGGACAAGGTCCCACTGGTAGTTGGATTTAACGCCGGAATGTGGATGTGTTTGTGGAGAGGTGCACTTTTGATCTGTTTTTCTGCATGTCTGCATAAAACACATCCACATCTAGGCACATAATCCAAACCTTTTTGCTAGTGGAACCCCGCTGTCGAGCGCATCGGTCCGGCACCGTACAAGGCAGCGCGGGACCCTCCCGGCCGCGTCACGCAGGAGTTGGTCTAAATCTCTGTTCCGAATATACATGGAGCTTCCACAAGCCGTTCCGGCCGAGTGCGCCAGCCATACCTCTCGCGAGCCCCTACGACAGGATACGTGAGGCACGACTTACCTCCACCTTGCGGGAGTTGTCACCTCCCTTCGGTGGGCGCATCCCCGCCAAGCTACCAGTCCACAATTCGAAAGCTTATCAGGTGCAATCGCTGAGGTGAACCAGCCGAGGGCGTTTCTCGTACGCTGTAGCATAGGGGGTACGCGCGGTAATACGCCTCTATCAGACCCCCACGTGAGCCGACGCCTTGGGGGGCTGAGGTCCCAAGCGTGACTCGTCGCCGGTCGACTAGGACGCATCCCACACTCCACTCGCACACCAGAATGAGAGCGCGAATGAGAACCTATGCGGTCTGGTGCGCCCTCTCCGTTTGGCCATCGGTCTGAGGGTGGCGAGCTGAACTGGCTTGAGAGATGAGCCCCATCGCTTGATGAGCGCCAACCAAAAATCGGACATGAACCGAGTGTCGCGGTCGCAGACGATTTCCTTGGGGTAACCCTTGGTTCGAATCCAACTGGCGTAGAGAACCTCGACCAACTCCGGCATGGCGAACTTGGTGAGTCGGTCGACCACCGTGAGAATCACATCCACTCCAGTCTTGTGCTTGGGGAACGGGCCGGTAATGTCCATGGCAATCGTTTCCCTTCGCCTCAACGGGACCGGTAATGGTCGTACTCGCCGTACGGACAATGGTTGCGGGATTTTCAGCGTTGGCAAACCTCGCATGACTCGCAATAGCGTGTGACGTCGCCGAGAAGGCCGGGCCACCAAAATCGCTCGTGAAGTTGGTCAATCGTACGATTGACTCCAAAGTGTCCGGTGGCGGGAGCATCGTGGAACTCGCCAAGAAGCCGTGTACGCAAGTGAGGATCACTTGGTATGCAAAGAAGGTCCTTCCCCCATGTGTGGACAAGCAAGTACCCCTCTTGGATCCAGTAGTGAGAAGGCGCCGGATTAGGAGAGGAGCAATTCGCGTACTTGTCGCGAAACTCGGGTTCGGCTTGGTAGCCGCGGATGAAGCTGTTCAACAGGTCATCGTCGATCTCGAAGGTTGAGTAGACTGCGCTACAATGATCCGGACGGCGTGAAAGATCATCCGCAAAACGGTTCGACTTCCCGGGAATGTGATCGGGAAAGAAGTCGAACTGGTCGATGAAAGTCATCCATCGAGCGATGGTGCTCTTGACAGTGTCTTGGGTCTTATAGAAGACCAATGAATTGTTGTCCGTTACCCATTGAAATTGGCTTCGACCAAGGAGGAAGTGTCGCCACCGCTTGAGTGCGTGGACGAAGGCGAGGAGCTCCTTCTTGCGTGCATCGTCAATGGAATGCACGACGGGCACTTTCTTGTTGAAATACTCGGCCGGGTGCCAGTCCACACCATCATGTTGCTCGAGGACGACACCAATGCCATAGCCGGACGCATCAGTAGTGATGCGCGTAGGCAAAAGCGGGTCGTATATGCGCAAGACCTCCGCAGATAATAGCACGGCTTTAAGAGCCAAAAATGATTTCCGCGCCTCCTCTCCGAAGTCAAACGGTCGATCCTCGCATTGAAACTTGGTCAAGTGGGCCGCGATCTTCGAGTAGCCTTTGATAAAACGCTGGTAGTAGCCGGCAAGGCCAAGGAACGAACGGACATCCGTGACGTTCCGAGGCTCTGGCCACTCTTGGATGACCTGAATCTTGTCCGATAGCGGACTGATGCCCTCCGGTGTGACAAAATGTCCCAAGTATTTCAGCTCTTGCCGGACAAATTCGCACTTGTCGCGGTTGGCCTTGTACTTGGCGCGGCGAAGCGTCTCCAACACTCGTCGAAGATGCCCAAGATGATCCTCTAAAGTCCGGCTATAGACGAGAATATCGTCTAAGTAGACCAGCACGAACCGGTCCAACATTGTACGGAACTCGTTGGTCATTGCTGCTTGAAAGGTCGCCGGGGTGTTGATGAGGCCAAAAGGCATGACCACCCAGTGCACTCAAAATGCCTGTACCGCGCCTTGAACGTGGATTTGTAGCGATCATTCGGCCGGATCGAGATTTGATGATATCCCGATTTCAAATCCAACTTAGAAAAATACCTTGCGCCACCCAATCGCTCAAGAAGATCGTCGATGCGGGAGGGAGGCCCCGCATTCTTGACGGTTTGCGCGTTGAGCTTCCGATAGTCGATACACAATCGCAGATCCTTGTTCTTCTTCCGGACGAAGAGAACCGGTGCTCCATATGGGGAGCTACTAGGGCGGATCCAGCCCTTGGCCAACAAATCGTCGAGTTGTGCGCGGAGGACCTCAAGTTCCTTCTCGCTCATCTGATAGATGCAACCTTTCGGCGGCACGGCACCGGCCTCAAGAATGATCTCGTGAGAGATCGACCGGTCCGGCACCACACTAGTAGGTCACTCGAAGATGTCGGCGAACTCGTCCAGCAACCGCACCACCCGGGGGTCCGAAGACAAGTCCGTGGGTGAAGCGTCGGCCACCGCGACGGTCCGTAGGAAACATAGGCCGATTTCCTCGGGCTGCTCGTAAGCGAAAGTCGCCCGGAATGATTTGGTCGTCACCACTTGGCACCGAATCGAAGGGTGCGGTAGAGGAACAATACACGCCACTTCTGCGCTGAAGGCGTCGCAAACGCTAAGACTCAGCCGGTGGAAATTGACCATGTGATCCGCACTTGCAAGCCAAGGCATTCCCAGAATGATGTCGAAGTCCGTGTCGAGAATGTCGAACGTCACCGGTTCGCATGCATAAGGTGCGAAATAAACCGGTACGGCCTCGGTCCGCCATTCCGCTGCCATTGTGAGCAAAGTCTGCTCTCTGCTAAATATCTTCTCACGACGTTGGTTTCTTTCTTCATCAGCAACCCTTGTTGTTGCCTCGTCATGTTGGCACTGTTGTTCAATTGCCAGCAGACGTGCCTGCTCGGCGTCCTCCGCCTTCTTCTTCGCTGCTGCTGCTGCATCATCCGCCCGTTTCTTTGTTTTGGTACTCCAAGCCAGCATCCGGGCCTGATAGGTCTCGTCTGCTTCTCCGGACCTCTGGTCCATGATGGCTGTATGTGACCGCAACAGCATAGACCAGGCCAGGGGCCTGCTGACGTGGTATTTCCTGCTCTGTCGGCTGATGTGGCCTGCTGACGTGTCCTGCTGATATGGCTTGCTGACGTGGTCTGCTGGGGTGTCTTGCTGACGTAGTCCACTGACGTGTCCTGCTGATGTGGCCTGCTGACGTGGCAACTCACCAATGCCGTCGCAGGGGGTACCCGGAGATAGATAGAGAAGGAAAGGCCAGAGGGGGCAACAACATAGGTGGGGAGGGTGGGTGGGGAGAATCGCCCAGATAAAGAGCCACTAATAAAAAAAGAAAAGTTTGAACTTTGCAAAAAAAAAAAATTCAAAATAATAAAATCCTGAGTTTTGCAAGTTCAGTAGGTCTCCCAACCTCCCTTGAAGTGCGAAATGATCAATGAGAAAAAAAATTTCGACTTCAGACTGCAAATGATTTATAGAATTGACTGACAGAATCCTAGAACTGCGAAAAAAAAATTCCGAAAAGAAATGAAATATTTGGACTTACTCAGATGAGAGTATTCGCAGTTTGGAAAATAATACCTGCAGGAGGGATTTCCCGTACCGTTTTCAGAAAAACGAATTTCGAAAAAGAAGGTATTCCGAATTTTCAAATAACGGGAAATGCAACAGGAAATCGAAATTTTCGAAAAGAAGAATATTATGGATTGTCAACCACAAAATTTTGAATTTTCAGAGGAAAAACGAAAATGGGAATTTCAGATGATGCGCTATTAGGATTTTCCACAATAGAAATAGCGAGAAAACAAAATCCAAGGAAAGAAAAAAAAAAATTGATTTTCGGCAGTAAGGTCAAAATCGTGATTTTTGGGTCTAACTAGTGTGCTCTAATCAATCAATGAAAACTAATCAGCTATCTAGTCCCCGCACACGTGTYAGATCAGGTTGTCCTGATTCACGTGCGGCGTTCCAATACCAACTGTTACATGCCCAGTTGGGTGATGTACATAGAAACCGAGGATCCGCAATGTGATGAAAAAGACTGAATGGACAATGCAGTGCAAGTAGAATCTCAACAAGCAATGTGCATTCTAATACATACAAAATGGTGTTGAATAGCGCAGGGAAGACTTAGATACAAATCCTGACCTGACCGGGACTGACCTCATTCACATAGTATCGGATAGCGAAGCAGAATACTAGAATGCTAATGACTAGCCCAACCAATGTTTGAACGCAGACCAAACGTACATCGTATCCATCACAAGGTGTGAAGGAGCCTGGCGCTGTACACAGGAAGAAAGCGCCAGGTCCAGACATACACAAACGAAGAGGAGGGGATCAGACGAAGAGAGGGGGAGAGATGGGAATGTCGGCAACACCAAGTTTTCGTCACAAGTCCCAAATAATCCCTCATCGTAATGTCTGAAGCCCAAAAGTCGAGTCTGGATCCAAGGTCACCAAGCTCTCTCTCTCACTCTTCTCGCATAGTCTGCAGATGCAGTGAAGTCAGATAAGGAGAGGGTGAAAGGGAGATGGTGGACTGAGAAGAGGAAGAAGAAGAACTCTCTCTCTGTCACTAGCCAGATACTAACCTGTGATGTTGGCGCTGTGCTGCAGGTACCTCGAAGACGAAGCTGGAGCAACTGCGCTGCAGGTAAGTACCTCTGGCCTCCGCCCAATCTCTCTCTCTCTAGTGCTATCCTAGCTATGGCGCCCAGCGCTGGAGACTACAGCTACCTACTGCGCCCAGCGCTGAAGACTAAGGCTAACACTACTACTACTCCTGCAGCGCTCCCTCCAGAGTGCTGCTGCCGAATCCTGAAGACTACTACTGCCTCCTGCCTGACCGTGAAGTGCATGGGAAGTCCCTATGTACTACCTCGGCCTGCCTCCTAAGGGCGAGCCAGGCCGAGGAGGCTGCTCTTGCAAATGCTGAAGTGTGCCAAGGGTTGGCGCTGCAGCAGCTGCTGAGGCTGGCGTGGGAACAGGCTAAGAATAGCCTGTTCCCGAAACCCTGGTTCTGTGCCTGAGTTTCAGGGCCGGTCGTTCTGATGAACGACCGAAAATGGCCCTTCGTTTCAGGCTAAAAAGGCTATTGCCATTTTTAGTCTGAAACGACACAGGGACTGCAGGCCCCTGTTTTCAGGCTTTCGGGCTGAACAGTCACGGGGCCTGTAGGCCCTGGTTTTCAGGCTTTAAGCCTGAATTTCAGGCTTTCAGCCTGAGGAACGCAGGGCCTGGAAAATGGCCCTCGTGTGCAGGCGCAGCATGTAACACTGGACTGGATTGGACTGGCTGGTACCGACAGAGGTACCGGCCTGGACTGGACTACCCCGAATACAACACAGGCCTGTGAGAACATGCCAAGGGGCTGGTCTCACAGGCCAACCAGAGGTCCGCTACACTAGGGGTTGTCACATGTTGGTAAACGTACGATCCATCCCGTGCAGAAAGGAGGCAGAGGGATTGGTTGGTGTGCTGAAAAGCGGAGGCAAACTTGCCGGAAAAGGCAAGTCTTCCTGATCGGGTAACAGAAACCTTGGGAGTGCCGAAAACTGCTCTGGCGGTGGAATCCCTTTTCGCTTGCCCATTCCCGTCGGCTACGATTTTGGGCTGGCCGATGTTTTCCTGGCACCGAGCACCGCCAAGCAGTTGGGTCCTACCCTTAGCCAGCAGTGAAGATTGGAAAAGATGAGAACAGCAGGACCATGCTTTGAACGAAAAAAAATGGAGAAAGGAAAAGATAAATGACGACCATGCTGCCACATGGTGAGGAGATACTGACACTAGGACCTTCCTGGATGTATCGGACCGCAATTACGGCCACACCTGGATGTATCTGACGTCAATTCAGTCCAGAGCTTAGTCGAAACATCCCTAGCATGAGTATGCTCTGAGAGGCACATTACGGAAGGACAAAGGACAGTCTCAGCATGCAGGTGAGAGGGACAGTGTGGAGGCAATGCAGGCAAAGGTAGCAAGGAATTTCTACTGCTGAGTGATGACAGTCTGAGTCTGGCAGGTGCTCTGGCTTCTGACACAGATCCGGTGAGTAGCAGGGGGTGCAGAAGATAGCACTGGTGAAGGGGACGGTGGAAGGGGAATGTATGGGAGGAAAAGAGAAAAGGCATAGGTGAATGAGGCTCACATGGACCTTGGCAGAGCAAGTTGGTTGTTTCTGTGTGCTGTGAGTACTGGACCAGATTGCCAGTTGGGCTGCTCCACACCAAAAGACCAGAGTTATCACTGTCACCAGTCTGCCAGCACACCCATTTCAGAGAATCTGATGCCAAACTCTTATCTCTGGGAATAGGTGGCAGTTCAATCAATATTTCCCCCGACTCGGCCCCTGCAATCAATGTCCATCCACTCTGGCTTAACCTAGTCAGAATGCAATGTGCTTGAAGAAAGAAAAGAAAAGACTGTCAGGATGCACCTGCTTGTGCGCATGGACAGGTGCATGATTTTGCCTGGATGGCCCGGGTGCCCAGTGGCTCCTGCATGATGTGGGAGAAATATGGTAGTGTACACTCGCCCTTTTTTTTTTTTTTTTTTTTTTTAAGGATGATTCAGGATGACAGAGTGGATTACAGATAGATGATGACTAATCAGACTGATTGTCTACTCAGCACTCAAATACTATCCTATCCCTAATTTCCTGTATCCATTCCAATGGTGTGCACACTGTGTAAACGTCCGGCCTCTTGACAATAATTCCTACCCAAATGGCCAGGATAGGGGGTTCCTAAATTCTTTGCGGAATTTCCGGTGTTTTCTTGCTTGCCCTCGTCATTGGAGGCCTTTGTGGGAGGAAGACGGACAGACGATGGTTCGTGAATCAAGGGAATGGCTGTTCAATCTTGGGGATGATCATGGGTTGGTTGCAGTTGCATAACCTTACAAGCAGCTGTGCAAAAGTGGCGTAATTAGACAAATGACTTCTCAAACCCTTCATTTTTTTTTATTATTATTATTTTTTTAATGGGAACAAGGCT